TATTTTTCTTTTTTCAAGTAAATACATACATTTCATACCTTGTTGATTTTATTTCATAAATGGTCATAGCTTTGTATTAAATCGCACAACAATTCGATTTGGTTGTATTATTTGGACATTGCTATTTTTATGTGATTCATCCCCATTTGTAATAATTGTACCCCCATTTCCGGATACTTTTGTAATAGCTTAGAATTTTTAATTCTCGCAATTTATTTCTTTCTATATATTGTATAGTAATTAGGCATGTATGGCAAGATTCAAAAATCAATCGCTAGAAGACCTAATCCAAGAATAAAATAACTTGAAATCAACACACTTCTCACACGCGCACATCTAGGGTAACCTCACTTGTTGCCTCGGAAATACAACCATGTCCCTCGAATATGAGACATTCTAGCAATGACCCTTCGATAAACAAAGATCGTAGTCCCTCGATGACCCTCGATGTTGCCTTCGATTAAAATGATCTCGTCCCTTACAAAAAATTACTAGAGCGTCTCACAAGCTGCCTTCAATGATTGTAAAATTGACCCGCGCCTGTCCCTTCACATCCAAGGATGGGGCTTCTTACCAAATCAATGGTAAGATAGCACCATTAAGAGGAAGAAAAAAGAACAATTTAAGACCTTTCGAGTAGATAGATTCGCTCTTAGTTACTCGCTTGCTCATGACAAATACTTTCACACCTACACTTCCATTTCAAAACATTTTTCAAAAGATAAAACGTTTTGTATACGTTCTTATAGAGACGAGAACCATTACAAAACCTCTTTTCAAAACACTTTTCAAAACACGATTCACAAACACATCTTTGAACCATTTTTCGAAACAAAACTTTGTATATGTTCTTATAGAGGCGAGAACCATTACAAAGAAATTTTCCAAAATACTTTCAAAAACCCATACCACAAGCACACAATCAAAACAAAAGCAAGTGATCTAAAACAAGTAACTAAGAGCCCATGGAAAACCATGGATGAAAAGGGTGCTAATACCTTCCCTTTTCATAATCTACCCCCCGAACCCGAGAAAATTCTCGAAAGGTCTTTCCTGTGCTTTTTTACCTTTCCTTTGGGATAAAAGAAAATTCGGTGGCGACTCTTGCTAACCGCACAAGTGCGAACGAAACGCAAAACCTCTAGTCAGTTCTCCCACCGTATCACAACTGCATATGCTATTGGTAGCATTTGATCATTGGGATCTCTACCTATGGCTGCAAGTATTTGACCCCCACAAAGGCCTTTCAAAAAAGATCCATCAAGTCCAATGAAATATTTGTTTAACTTAAAGCTTTCCTTACAAGCTGCCAAGCATATGTATATCCTTTTGAAATGTGATTTCTGAACACCAGCTTCTTGTGCAGGTTCGACATTCAATTTTACAGTTGACCCTGGGTTAGCTCTTAATAACTCGTGTGCATAGTCATATATCCTTGCATAATCCCCTAGGAACGACCCATTGATCGTGTCTCTAGTTGCAAACCTAGCCCTTATAGCCTTGGTTTTGTTGACCCCCACATTCCACTTCTTTTGTACCTTCTCCTTAATGTCCTTAATTTTCATTCTAGGGTTGGTTTTAAGTGAATTCTGCAACCTCTTGCTCAACCATTTAGTCTTCATTAACTTCACATTATATTCTCTACTGCAACTATGAGTGTCTACTACCTTTCTTAGTTGCCAAGAATCCCCGTTAGACAATTTAGCATAATAGGATTCCCATTCACATCCTTCCTTACACCTAACCCTAATCCTTGTCTTGTCATTTTTAATGAACTTTAAATTTCTGCCATATTAGACTGCATAAGAGGTAATGGCTCCTTGAAAGTTTCTGTTGTACTAAAGTAGGTTCCCACTTCCCATTTGTAATTGGACATATCCTTTTGAATCTTGAAAACTGGATACTTCTTTCTCCTAACTCTACTGCTATCATCACTATCACAGTCACTTCCTAGATCATCACTTTCATTATCACTTCCTTTGCTATCTTCTTTGTTTGCTTCACACTTTTTTTGTCTTTTTTTCTTTCCATGTGTTCATAGTTAATTAGGCTACCCTCTTCCTCTTTCAAATCAGTGTCATACTCATCAGAGTCATCATCAAATACTACCTCTATTGCACTATCATAGTTGAAGGTGCTATCATCAGAACTATCATCATCATCAGTCAGTCTAACAACATCATCAACCTCACCAGCCCTATGTCCAATATCATCACTTTCAACCTCATCAACCATTGGCACATTATCATCAGTTCCTACTGCATGAACACCATCTTCCCTAATATCATCTTCCCCAACACCATCCATGCTAACATCATCTTCCCTAACACCATCTTCCCTTCTATCAGTTTCATTCAACATCTCCTCAAGCACAACTTCTGCCTCATCAACTATCACATTAAGGGGTACCTCATCTAATACAACGTCAGTCTCATCAGCATAATCAGGCTTTGACAACGTGTGTTGAATAAAGACTTCAACACTAAGATGAACCATATATAGATCAACAATCTCTAATGCCTCCTTGTCATCAACCAACATATTCATCCCAGCAGTAGGATCCCTATAATATATTCTCTACATCTGCGTAACCTAGCTCTTTAATAGCACCTATCAATTCAAAATAGATCCACTTATCAATATCTACTCTCAAATCAGCAATCTCACCTCCTTCGTAAACACTCATGTCCTCAGTAACAAATTCGCCACTATGGTGTATTGTAATGTTCATATATTCATCCATTTTAGACTATATCCTAAATGGACAGGAAGATATTAGATTTCAGAAAGATTGATTTCAAAAAACCCTAACTACGAAAATCATAGTTTTGTAGAAACTTACATACGATGAGCAGTGTTGTGGTCGATTTCACCTTCAAGAATGGAATATGCCTTCGCTTGCTTGCAGTTTCTTCGCAGAATGGAGCTACCAACAATGGCTGCCCTAGGATTACCTTCAAAGTGTTGGAGATGTAATATGATCCTTTAACGCATGCAATGCTTTAACCCTTTTTTTAAGATACTTTAATCCACCTGGACGAAAAATGTAAACACGTGCAATGCTACATATATGCCACATAAGCTCTACCATTGATTTTGACTAACGGTCCAGACGAAAAAGATAAATATAGTCCTTTTTGAACAATTAAAGAACTACTTTGAAATTTTTTAAAGATAAAAACCAGAATAGATCCAAAGATAAAGTTAAGGGATTAAAAAGAATATTTTACTTTTATTTTATTTTTGGTTTAGAGTAATTTTATATATTCAAAACCTTCAAATAATAATTATAGACATGTCTTTCAACATAGATTTTAATAATTATAGGCATTTCTTTCAACATAGATTTTAATTAAATTAAGTATTGCTAACTACTCATTACCAAAACAAAAAAGTATGGCTTACTAGTTACTTTATCCCAAAAATAACTAATTACTGCCTTTGACAATTATGGCTACACACTTTCTTGGTTGCTTCTTTCACATGATCAATATAGCAACCTATATTAAAAAAATCACTTCTTATATTATAATACACATCGAGTAATCTGTACCCTTTTCCATTGGTCACAAGATTCACCATAGCCCCCACAACATTTTTCTATTCTTTGTACATAAATAGATACCATGGCCTTGTAATTTTCTCCACATTTCAACATAACAATTCATTGCCACCATGACTATACTCTCTACAATTTGGCTATTACCTCTCTTTACTTTCATTTATGTTAATGGTGTTCTTCCTATTGAAGCTACTCACCATGTTTATAGAGAACTTGAGAGTTTGTCTTCTGATGAATATTCTACAAATCAACCTTATAGAACTGGTTATCATTTTCAACCTCCAAAGAATTGGATAAATGGTAATTAATATGCTCTTAATATATATTGTGTATTTTTTTTTTGTTTAAATTTTTACATCTGACAGATTCTTCTTGTTTATGTTCTTTGACATGTTATGCTTAAATGGATGTGTGGATTTGCAGATCCTAATGGTTAGTTCAATTCTTTATGCATATAGTTTCTTTCATATTAGTTCCATCATTGTTGTATCTAATGTATGTGTTTTTCAAATTTTCAAAGATCATCTCTAACTATTTGTGAAATTAATTTAATATATGATTAATTTCATAAATAGTTTTTATCAAATTTAGTCAAAGCTCAAAATGTTGAAATGTTCATAATAATAATAATAATAATACAAACGGCAGTTCCAAAGCTTGAAAAAGATATCATCACGTATATAGCAATATATAACATGCATCATCTATAAGCAAATCATATGCCAAATCAATAGGAAAATGACATTTCAACAATTTCAACAATAAAAATAAAGTCAACAATTATGCCAAAAGAAATGTTGCCATTCAAAGAAGATGATCATATTTGTAATGATTTAGAAAAAATGCACAAATTAGAATAAAGTAGGTCAGATGTTTGTTTTATGTCTTTGTTATTTCACCAGCATATATCAGTGTTTGATATCAATACGATAAGTTGACATATGTGACTATGTTTAATTTATTTATTTTTAAAATTTTTTATCGATATCGAGATTTTTTGTAGGTCCATTGATTTATAAAGGAGTTTATCATTTATTCTACCAATACAACCCTAAAGGTGCACAATGGGGAAATATAGTATGGGCACATTCAGTTTCAACTGATCTTATAAACTGGATCCCACTAGATCCAGCCATCTTTCCATCTCAACCGTCGGATATAAACGGTTGTTGGTCAGGATCAACCACAATCCTTCATGGTAACAAACCATCAATTCTATACACAGGAATCAACAAACTGAACCACCAAGTTCAAAATTTAGCATATCCTAAAGATTTCTCTGATCCTTTTCTAAGGGAATGGATCAAGTCACCAGAAAATCCAGTAATTGAACCAACTAGTGAAAATAAAATTAATGCAAGTTCATTTAGAGATCCAACTACTGGTTGGCTAGGAAAAGATGGAAAATGGAGGGTTATTGTTGGTAGCAAAAGAAGTACTAGAGGGATTGCAATTTTGTACAAGAGTAAAGATTTTGTTAAATGGAAAAAATCTAAGCACCCTTTGCATTCAGCTAAGGGCACTGGAATGTGGGAGTGTCCTGATTTTTTTCCTGTGTTGAAAAATGGAATTAAGGGTGTTGATACATCATTGAATGATGATTATGTTAGACATGTTCTTAAGGTTAGTTTAGATGATAAGAAACATGATTATTATTTAATTGGGAGTTATGATGAGGAAAAAGACAGATTTGTCCCTGATAGAGGTTTTGAAGAGGTGGAGATTGAGGAGGTTTTTAGATATGATTATGGGAAATATTATGCTTCAAAAACTTTCTTTGATTATGAGAAAAATAGAAGGATTTTGCTTGGTTGGGTTAATGAATCTTCAAGTATTCCTGATGATATCAAGAAAGGATGGTCTGGAATCCATGTAAGTTAGTAATAGAGTAGTTTACTAATATGCCCTTCATTTTATCTTTCTATTCTGTTTTGCTGAGCTGTCAGGTTTGTTAGTGGTGTGCTGTTAGCTTGTTATGGCCTCACACCTTTTCTGCTTTGTATCACATGGCTATATAAAGTAGCCTCTTGTATTACTGTTTAAAATAATACAATGAGAGTTTCTTTTAATTCTCTCTCTTTACCTATTTCTATCATGGTATACAGAGCATAATTTTTTTTTCCGATCCATGGAACCTTTATTCCCTTCCTCTCAGGTGAAACTTTCTCACCTAATTTCTGTTAAGCTTGACGACAAGAATTTCAAACAGTGGAAGCAGCAGATTGATGGCGTCGTCCGTGGTCATCGTCTTCAACGCTTTGTCACTGTTCCGGTGATTCCGCCACCGTCTCCCTCAGATCCTGCATCTCACAGTGCGTTTCTTGAGTGGGAACAGCAGGATGCTCTCATTTGCACCTGGCTTCTCTCTACCATCTCCGATGCTCTCCTTCCTAAGCTCGTTGACTGCAAGCATGCGTGGCAGGTGTGGACAGAAGTTCATCGGTACTTTGATGTTCTTCTCTCCACCAAGGCTCGTCAACTTCGTTCAGAACTCCGGCGTCTTACGAAGGGTTCACTAACGATTACTGAGCTTATGACGCGTTCACGTGACATCAGTGAGTCGCTAACCTCCATCGGTGATCCCGTTCCTCTTCGTAACCTAATTGAGATTGTTCTTGATTCGTTACCTGAGGATTATGATTCTATTGTCGCCGCCGTTAACAGCAAAGATGACGTTAGCTCCTTGGAAGAGTTGGAGTCTTCCTTGCTTGCTCATGAGTCGCGATTGGAGAAGCATCGCAAAGCTGCGATTACAGAACCGGCGACGGCGACGATCAATCTCACTCAAGCAACACCTTCTCCCACTCCAGTCGCTTCTGATCAAGTCATCTCCGAGGCGTTTCCTCAAGGAACGAGTCACGTCACCGCTAATGCTGAAAATCATTCCTATGGTGCACGTGGTGGTCGTTCTGGTCGCGGTGGTGGTCGTTTTGGTCGTGGAGGAGGTCGTTTTGGGAAATCACCGTGTCAGATTTGTCACAAACCTGGTCATGATGCTTCAGTATGCTACTATCGTTATGCCAATTCAAGTGGTGCTAGTTATCCACATCATCGAGCTCCCTTCAATCCTTTTCACGTGGCTCCTCGTGCTGTTTATCCTGTGCAGCTTGCTTATGCTTCTCCCAGAGCTGCGCCTCCCAGATCTTCTGCACCACAAGCCTTTTATGCAGGTACTGAAGCTAACAGTGCAAACCAGTGGTGGTATCCTGACTCAGGAGCTTCTCATCATGTTACTCCTGATGCCTCTAATGTGTCTGACTCTGCCTCCGTGCCTGGAACTGAACAAGTTTTCATAGGTAACGGCCAAGGTTTGTCCATCAACTCTGTAGGTTCTATGTCTTTTCCCTTACCTCACAAACCTCATCTATCTCTCACTCTTAACAATCTCTTACATGTCCCTCACATCACCAAAAACCTTATGAGTGTGAGCAAATTTGCTCAAGATAATTCTGTATTTTTTGAATTTCATCCTAAGTTTTGTGTTGTCAAATCTCAGGCTACTTCTGAAGTCTTACTCAGTGGTCTTGTTGGTGCTGATGGCCTCTATAAATTCTCCAATCCAGCTGCTCCTCCGTTGTCCAAATCTTCTTCCTCTTATAGTTCTAGTCATAGTTATCCTGCAGCATACAATTGTAATACTTCCTATAGGACGGATGTTATAGATTCTATATCTCAGTGTACTGAATCTGTTGCAAATCATACTATAAATCCTTTGTCTTCTTGTAATGAATCTTGCAATTATAATGTTACAAGTACCTTTTTCAATTCTTCTCTAAACTCTGTCAGTACTGTTTTACCTTCCTCACACTTTAATGCTGCAAATTCTATTGCATCCAATAAATATGTGCTTTGGCATACTAGGCTGGGACACCCCAATCATCATACCCTCACTGAAATCTTCAAACTGTGTAATCAATCCTTTCCATCTAAACCCCCTGCTGAGTTATGTCACGCTTGCTGCATTGGCAAGTCTCATAGACTTCCTTCTTCTTTATCTACCACAGTTTACTCTCATCCCTTTGAGCTGGTTGTATGTGATCTTTGGGGTCCTGCCCCTATGCAATCTTCCAGTGGTTATACCTATTTCCTAACCTGTATTGATGCCTTCTCTAGGTTTGTTTGGGTTTTTCCTCTCAAACTTAAGTCTGACACCATGGTTCAATTTCTTCAGTTTAAGAAAATGGTTGAACTTCAGTTCAATTGTCCCATTAAATGTGTCCAAACTGATGGGGGAGGTGAGTTTAGGCCTCTTACCAAATATCTCACAGATTTAGGGATTGTTCACAGATTCACTTGTCCCCATACACATCACCAAAATGGCCTTGTTGAACGTAAGCACAGGCACATTGTTGAGACTGGTCTCACACTCCTTGCTCAGTCCACCCTTCCCTTAAAATTCTGGGATCATGCCTTTGTCACAGCTGCATATCTCATTAACAGACTTCCTACACCTATACTTGACAATGTCTCACCTTATTTTAAATTACTTCACAAAAACCCTGACTATACTATCCTTAAAGTCTTTGGCTGTGCATGTTATCCTTTTCTCCGTCCCTATAATTCTCATAAACTTGATTTTAGATCTCAACTGTGTATTTTCCTTGGATACTCTACCTCTCACAAAGGCTATAAATGCCTTGCTTCAGATGGTCGCATTTTTATTTCCAAGGATGTTGTTTTTAATGAAGCAAATTTTCCTTATTCCACCTTGGTTTCTTCTTCAAAATCTGTCTCTCTTCCTAACACTCCATCCTCTTCCTCTCCCTCTCTCAGTTTTCCTCCTGTTTCCTCTGCTCCCTCTACTTCTAATCTGTCTTCTATGCCTTCTTCTTCCTCAAATTCTGCTTTTCCTCAACTTAGCAGTCCCACTATTTCTAATTTTTCTCCAATCTCTTCTTCCTCTTCCTCTGCTGCTCCCTCTAACAACTCTTATTCTTCTGGTCAGCAACCTATCCCTCAACCTCTCACTGCCATTCCCATTACCTCTTCTCCTTCTTCCTCTCCTGCCCTCATTCTCTCTGATCCAGCTGAAGCTAGCACTCTTTCTCCCTCCTCTTCATATTCCTCTCCTTTAGTTGGTCCCTCCCCTGGCCCTAGTCCTATTTCCCACCCTGCTGCCACAGCTTTACCTTCCATTCACCCTCAAAACATCCACCCTATGCAAACTAGAGCTAAAAGAGGAATCACTCTTCCTAGACTTCACCCTACTCTATTAATAGCCCACCTTGAACCTACATCTGTTGAGCAAGCCTTGGCTGCTCCTAACTGGTTTCAGGCCATGAAGGAAGAACATCAGGCACTGCTGAGAAATCAGACCTGGACTTTGGTGAAAGCTCCTGCTGGAAGGAAGCCTATTGGATGTAAGTGGGTGTTCAGGACTAAGGAGAATCCTGATGGTTCCATAAACAGGTATAAAGCCAGATTAGTGGCTAAAGGGTTCCATCAAAAGGCTGGTGATGATTTTCAAGAGACTTTTTCTCCTGTCATTAAACCTGTTACTGTGAGAATTGTTCTTTCTATTGCTGTTACAAACAGGTGGCCATTGCAGCAGATTGATGTTAACAATGCCTTCCTCAATGGCACTCTTGAAGAAGAAGTCCTTATGCAACAGCCCCCTGGCTTTGAAGTTGCTGACCGAACTCTTGTTTGCAAGTTAAATAAGGCTATTTATGGTTTAAAACAGGCTCCTAGGGCCTGGTTTGATAAGCTAAAGTGTGCCTTGGTTCAACTCGGGTTTAAGGCTAGTAGATGTGATCCTAGCTTGTTTTTGTTGCATCAAGGTAAACTTCAGATTCTAATTCTGGTCTATGTTGATGATATAATCATCACGGGTAGTTCTGCTCCTTTTATAGCTTCCTTGATCAAGCATCTCAATAATTCTTTCTCTCTCAAACAGCTGGGACAACTTGATTATTTCCTAGGGATTCAAGTGACTCATCTCCCTAATGGTTCTCTTCTCTTATCTCAGACTAAGTACATCACAGATTTGCTTTCAAGGCTTAATATGTTGAATGCCAATGGCATGCCTACTCCCATGGTCTCTAGCAGCAAATTGTCCAAGGTTGGGTCTGCTGCGGTTGATGACCCTACTCAGTTTCGGTCTGTGGTTGGTGCCCTTCAATATGCTACCTTAACTAGGCCAGAGATCTCTTTTTCAGTCAACAAAGTCTGTCAGTTTTTGTCCAATCCTTTAGAGGATCATTGGAAGGCTGTTAAAAGAATCTTAAGGTACCTAAGTGGTACTCTGCACCATGGTCTTCTCCTTCAGCCTGCTCCTATTCAGCAACCAATGCAGTTGCTAGGGTTCTGTGATGCAGACTGGGCATCAGACCCTGATGACCGGAGATCTACTTCAGGGGCCTGCATATATCTTGGGCCTAATGTTGTTTCCTGGTGGTCCAAGAAGCAACAGCTTGTTGCAAGGTCCAGTGCTGAAGCGGAATATCGCAGTATGGCTCAGCTAGCTGCTGAACTCATTTGGATTCAGTCCTTGCTCAAGGAACTCCATTATTCCTCTCAAGTTCCTAAGATCTTGTGTGATAACTTGAGCACTGTTACTTTGGCTCACAATCCTATTCTTCACAACAGGACTAAGCATATGGAGCTTGATATTTTCTTTCTGCGAGAGAAAGTACTCAGCAAAAGTCTGACTGTTGTTCATGTACCAGCTCAAGATCAATGGGCTGACATTCTCACTAAGCCCCTCTCTGCTGCCAAGTTTGTTCCTCTTCGTTCCAAGTTGCGTGTGTATGATAAGGCTGCTTTGACAAGTCTGCCATCAGCTTCTAAGGGGGACTAATAGAGTAGTTTACTAATATGCCCTTCATTTTATCTTTCTATTCTGTTTTGCTGAGCTGTCAGGTTTGTTAGTGGTGTGCTGTTAGCTTGTTATGGCCTCACACCTTTTCTGCTTTGTATCACATGGCTATATAAAGTAGCCTCTTGTATTACTGTTTAAAATAATACAATGAGAGTTTCTTTTAATTCTCTCTCTTTACCTATTTCTATCAGTTAGTTTTAATAATTTTCTTAATTTATTTTGTGTTTTTAGTTCAACATAATGGTTTAGTGAGCAGTTAATGTGCATATCAAGGTTGAATTTAAGCTCTTAAATTGATGTGACAATTTGAACAATAATTTACATGTATGTGCAGACAATTCCAAGAACTATTTGGTTACATGAGTCAGGAAAACAGTTGGTACAGTGGCCAGTTGTAGAAATTGAGAAGCTGCGAGTAAATCATGTCAACTTGCCCACCAAACTTCTCAAGGGAGCTGAACTTCTTCAAATTAATGGTGTCACAGCATCACAAGTAAGCCATGCTTTCTTAATTACTACAATAACTGCATGACATGAGCAACAAAATATATAATAATTGATATATGGTATGTATGATGTATCTGATCCGTATAAATATGATATATTTGTTATTCAATGAATCTGAAAAGTAAATATTTGTTTGTAATAGCAACGGCAAAATACATTGGTGATTATGATTATTTTGAAATTAGATTAATTAATCAGTTATTTAACTTATGCAGGCTGATGTTGAGATTGCATTTGAAGTGAATAAAAATACCATTGGAGAAGCTGAAGTTTTAGAGAAATTGCCAGACCCTCAAATTCTGTGTAGCCAAAAGGGTACATCAGTAAAAAGTGGTCTAGGACCTTTTGGTTTGTTTGTTTTTGCTTCAAAAGGGTTACAAGAGTTCACATCAGTGTTCTTTAGAATATTCGGATTCCAAAACAAAAACATAGTCCTCTTTTGTAGTGACCAAAGCAGGTTTGTCCTTATCCCTCTGATTATATTCAAAATTGAGTTCTAAGTTCCAACTCTATCTTATAAAAATGCATTTTTTATTTAACAGGTCTTCTTTGAATAAAGATAATGATTTGACTAGTTATGGGACTTTTATAGACGTGGATGTTCTTCATGAGAAGCTGTCATTGAGAACTTTGGTAAGTTATAATTGATTAAGGATTTAAGGCATTTGACAATTTCAAACCTATAGATTATGTACATACTTTTTCAAACATAAATGTTTATTTCTTACATAATTGTAGAGTGGTCCACAAAAGTTCCATCAATTTGTAACTTACATACAAAAAGTCATGATATTATAAGATCCACTTCTATTAATTATTATTAGAAAATAATCATGAATGAAGCATAAAATTCAACTTCTAATAAATGAGTTTCTACTTTCTTTATTTTATTTTTTTTTACAGATTGATCACTCTGTGGTAGAGAGTTTTGGTGGAGAAGGAAAGGCATGCATTACAGCTAGAGTTTATCCAACATTGGCTGTCAATGATAAAGCACTTATTTATGCTTTCAATAATGGAACTACTGATGTCAAGATCACAAGTTTGAATGCTTGGAGCATGAAGAAAGCACGGTTAAATGGAAAATTATAAGCAATAAAGTAGGAGTGGAATAATGGATCTCATATTGTGAAACTTAATTTTGTGTTCTTCTAATAGTGTCTTGAAATATCATTATCTGACATTATGTAATGAAAATTAACATGCATGTCATATATATAACATAGATTTGGTAAAAAGATAGGGAAAATAAGTGTTTGTTGTGATTTTGTCTATATGACTGTCAACAACAACTTCTCCATTGTTTTTGGAACTTCTGAAGCTGCTGTAACAGATTTTTGTAGTCTGTTTTATGCTAATGTTTAGGTAAATAAATTTCATTGTGTCTGATAAGCTTATGAATTAATATCATAAACATGTTAAAACAAAGTTGTACATCAAGAACAATGAAAGTAATGAAGAAAACTTCCAATAAATGCCTATAACAAGAATATCAAATGGAGCTTTAGGCGTAAATTTACTACCTATCTGCACCCGAAGGTCTTAAGTTTCTCAGCCGTTGATAAATTGGCCAACCTGTTTTATAGGATATGTTCTTTTAGAGGTGTTGAACGTTCAATTATATACCTTACGTCCTTGACCAACCTTCAATCATAACTATCAGGAGGTAAAGTCAGGATTAGCTTCAGTTAGTTCTCTAGTATGCTGTTATTCATACTCCATACTAGGATGATCCTTTTGCTTACGTTTCTTACTACCCTTCTTAGTCACTTTCTCCTTTGGTAATTCTTCAAATTGTTCTGTTAAACACTTATGTGCAATACTTTTCACTTCATCAATTAAGCCTCTGTTATAAGAATCCAACCCTTCTGTTGAGAATATATCAGCAAGATTCGCAATTTCCCTCATAGCAGTAACCTGTAACGTAACAGCATGTAACAGTCATGTATGTATTCATAGCATATCATAGCATATCTAAGAGAAAGATAAGTAACAAATAATAAGCAAAGGCGTACTGCTCTCTGATACTCCGACTCTACAGATGATGTAACTCTCCCAATGTATTTTCGAGTTATCTTCAGGTACCACTGCATGTACTCATCCTCATCTAAAATGTTGCCACCTTCAACAATATGAAGCCAACGCTCAGACCATTCTTTGAGAGCCGTGTCCATTTTTCCCATCAAGTCTGCCCCATGATCCACTATACGACTCTTCCTCTCCCACCGTTCCACATCTTTTGGGATGGTTTGATGCATGCCAAATTGCCTTAAGCAGCGATCGGGAAGGTGCCTTTCCTCCTTGTCAAAACACAGCAGCATAGTCCTAGATGCCCGTAAAACCAAACTAGTCTGTATATATTCCGGTATGGCTGCATAGTCCATATCCTTGTAAGGAAGCCACTGGACCTGTGTATCGATACTAAAGCAAATTTATTAACTTCTTCTACCGAATTCATCAATTGAATCACATTATCAGTGCTTACATCACAAGGATTAAGAGAATCAAAAGCCCTTCGGTAGGAAGCTACATTACATTTCGTCCTACAACCGCCTTTCCCTTTCCATTTAAGCACAAAGGGAAAGCAATTACTGTCAGCGTCTTGATTAAATTTAGGCTGTGCGACATTGAGGCGGGAATAACTCCAACACTAAAAAAACTATTATTCAGTCAGTCAAACAGAAACTAACAGATTATTAAAGAGTAAATGGAAGTAATTTTTTAACCTGCACTAGAGTTAAACAGCCACTAACTGTGCTTTGAGATTTAAGGGAAGCATTGCCGAGTGATCGATATAAAAACGCCAATGCTCCTGCACCCCAAGCAAACTTCCCGGCCACGTCAAAGTTTTCAAGCAAAGAAAGGTACATAACAGGGACTTTGTTCCCAGTTGTTGTAGAAAATATTGTACTTCCTACTAGGTATAGAAGGTATGCACGGGTACAACGCTCAGTTTCCTCCAGTAATGCATCTTCAGGACACTCGGAAAAGAATTCCTTCAGCCAAGTAAGCTTCACCATTCCACCATTCAAGTCCTCCGGTACTCTCCCTAGTAGTTTCTCACAGACTGCACTTGGTGCACTTATTGGTCCTATCACTGGTTCTCCATCAATAGCCAATCCAAGTAACAATGCTACATCTTCCAGGGTTATTGTTACTTCTCCAACGGTTAAGTGAAAAGTGTTTGTTTCTTTCCTCCACCTCTCAACCAAAGCTGCTATCAGTGCATTGTCAAGATTCATAGCAGGAAGTAATCGCAGGTAACCGAAACCAGCCTTCTCCACCAACTTAATCTGTTTAGGTGTGAGCTTCCACTGATCAAGCATTGAAGTGTGTTCGTGGCATCTAAGAACACCGCGCTCCTGTGGATTTGGTATGAAAAATGTTATCATATTGAATAACATGAATAATGAGAAACGCGACTTAACAGAAATTATAAACGACAGGGATAATGCACCCACCTGTCCATCCCAAACTGCAGAAGAAACATGGTTATCTTGATCATAAAGTACATAATTATCAATTGGCCCAGGATCTTCATTGAGCTCCATTTAGGTAAGTGATGAGAACTGTCCAAAATACAAAAATCACAGAAACGCATAACTACAGATCAGCCCCAATCTGAGATTGAATAGAATCTTGTTGAACTCGCTACTGTTCTGCTTCCAGCAGAGATAAAGTAACACATAAAAAGAGCGTTCAACATCATAAACTAACTATTTCACAGCCTACCTTCAGATTAAGTGCCAGGTTGATGTTTGTTTTGCCACTTCGAAACTGCATCACATTCACTTGCACAAACTGCTGAGGCATGTTTAACCTATAGTCAAATCATGGTTAAAGTTGCCTAAGCCAAGGATCGTTCTTCCAACTTATCCCACTATTTTGCACCACCTTGATGAAAAAGAGAAATTACACATTTAGGATAGAAACCGTGATCAAGGCCACATCAGTCTTATTTGACCGCAATTTCTCGCAATATAAACCCTAAATGGAGACCACAAATCTTTACCCACAGAATATCTTGTAATCAGAACAACAGCTAAGTGATGAGGTTTGAAATTGCATAAGACATAAATTTCAAAGCATTTTATTTCTTATAAACTATTAACAGTTCCAAGATTCTTTACAAAATTAGATATAATCAAATAATCCTCATAAAAAAAATCTAAAATAACAAGTTTGGATAAGAACAGTTAGAGTATGAAAATTATCAAGAAATGGTATTCGAGTAAGAAAAACCCAGAACGAAAGAGCGTTGATTTATTCAATAAAGTTATTATAGATAGAGAGAGAAAGGAACCTGAGGGGAAATGGAGGTTTTAGCAGTGGTGGCTCTACTGACGGAGAAGATGAGCGAGAATTTGGGGGGTCAATTTTTCTGTTCTTGTCTTAAAATGATTTGTTTACTCTGATGATTCGATAAAATTTTAGGAAATTTTTTTTCATTCAAATTGCTTTTGCTGATTTGTAAGTTTTTTTTTTTATATAGATTTGTACACCTAACACCATATTTTGTGGGAGTAAACAGAGTGGATAAAATGAGATACTTTTGTGGGTCTAAACTAATTGGTAGAATTTAAAAAATTTATAGTTGATTTGAATAATTTTTATTTTAATGGGGTTGTTTATAAAGAATCAAAATTTGATCTCATATTTTATATTTTTTTATTTATAATTATTTTTTATTTTAATTGAAATGCATAAAAATATTAATTATTTTTTTGGCAAAAAGCATATTAATTTTTAAAAATAGAAAAAAAGTATTTTAATAAATTTTACCTATTGAATTTATATATATATATATATATATATATATATATATATATATATATATATATATATATATATATATATATATATATATATATATATATATATATATATATATATATATATATATATATATTGAAGCAAAATGCATAATAATAATACATAAAAAGTTACATTTTCATGAGAATCGAAAATAATACATGACAATAAGCAACAAATTACATTTGAACCGAAATACAAAATAAGACAAAACTAACCTTTGTTATTCTTGTGACTAAATCTCTCTCAAATATGCTTCATAAGTCTGCTTGAAGTTGGCGATGATTTTGTCTTTGATGAACATGTGATATCCTTTCAAACAATATTTTCGAATTAGGATCAGGACCAGTAGATATTCCGACTGTGGATAAATTATTATCAATATGGTCGTAATCAAAATTACTAGCATATGTGTCTCGCTCATCTTCGACAATCATGTTATGCAATATGATGCATGCTAAAATTATGTGTTTGATTGTATTTACATGCCAAGCACGCGTTGGACCACGTATAATAGCGAATCGGGCTTAGAGCACTCCAAATGCTCGTTCAACATCCTTTTGTGTTGATTCTTGTCATTGGTCAAATAAATTTCTCTTTTCTCTTTGCGGCATAGGGATGGTCTTGACAAATAATATCCGCTTAGGATAAATGTCATCTGCTAAGTAGTACCTCATATGATATGTTGTCTGATTCACCGTGTATTGCACTGCAAGAGCTTTTCCATTCAAAATATCATTAAACACATCACACGTGTTTAACACATTAATGTCGTTGTTAGAACCTGCAGTGCCAAAAAATATAGATGCCAAATCCACAAGTCTTGAGATGCCACAACTTCAAGCATGATTTTGGATTTACCATGATCACCTCTAGAAAATTGACCTTTCCATGCGACAGGACAATTTTTTCCATTCTCAATGCATATAATCAATTGAACCTAGAAAGCCGCGTGTCGTGTTAATTTGTAGTAGGCGTGCAATGTCTTTGTTATTTGGCCTTCTCATGTATTGAGCATCAAATATTATGCGCACACTCATTACAAACCTGTCTAAGCACTCTAATGTCGTACTTTCACCAATGCAAACATAGTCATCCACAATGTCAGCTGGTGATCCATATGCTAGAATACGAATAGCAATAATGCAGTTCTGCAATGGTGAAAGTCTCATTCTACCCACTACATTAGTCCTTCTTTGAAAGTACTCATCATAATTCCCAAGAGCTTCAACAATGCGAAGGAACACATATCTTCTCATTACTGAACCTTCGTCTGAATT